TTTACACACGTATTGCTTACACGCTCTTCTGAGCAAAGTTTCAACTAACATTTCCTTCTCACAACAGGTGAACTCTGTTCCTCCACCTGGAACACAAGTATTACATATAACAATATTTACACACGTATTGCTTACACGCTCTTCTGAGCAAAGTTTCAACTAACATTTCCTTCTCACAACAGGTGAACTCTGTTCCTCCACCTGGAACACAAGTATTACATATAACAATATTTACACACGTATTGCTTACACGCTCTTCTGAGCAAAGTTTCAACTAACATTTCCTTCTCACAACAGGTGAACTCTGTTCCTCCACCTGGAACACAAGTATTACATATAACAATATTTACACACGTATTGCTTACACGCTCTTCTGAGCAAAGTTTCAACTAACATTTCCTTCTCACAACAGGTGAACTCTGTTCCTCCACCTGGAACACAAGTATTACATATAACAATATTTACACACGTATTGCTTACACGCTCTTCTGAGCAAAGTTTCAACTAACATTTCCTTCTCACAACAGGTGAACTCTGTTCCTCCACCTGGAACACAAGTATTACATATAACAATATTTACACACGTATTGCTTACACGCTCTTCTGAGCAAAGTTTCAACTAACATTTCCTTCTCACAACAGGTCAACTCTGTTCTTCCACCTGGGGGGGTGCCATATGTTCCACCAAGCATTCCATCCAACGAGGTAACTACGTTTTGTAGCACGTTCAGAAAACAATGCAACATTTCTAAACTATGTTTTTCTTCATGCAGAAAATTGATCCGGGTCCTGGTTATCCTCCAATGAATAACTCTCAACCTCCACCACCAAGAGTAAGAATTTCAACGTCAGAATTCTCGTCAATGCTAACGAGCTAAAATAGTGAAATACTGAACTGATCTCTTTTCATATTGATTACTTTAATGCATTCATATTTTGTTTTCTAGGAAAACATTTACACGCCTTACCCGCCATCAAATGGTAAGTTAAAATGTCTGACCTATAACTCACGAAATGTTTGACTCCACCAAACACCACAGGTTTTCTCCGGGCATTCCGCTTTCCTCCTGTAGTAACACTGGGTCAATAAAAGATAATTCTTACTGGACCTCTAGGGAGAACAGTTTAGAACTGATAGAACTACCCAGTATAAATAAATTTAATTTAGGTTTCTTCCTGTAGTAACACTGGATCAATAAGAGATGATCCTTACTGGACCTCTAGGGAGAACAGTTCGGAACTGATAGAGTTAGCCAGTATAAATAAAGTTAGTTTAGTTTAGGTTTCTTCCTGTAGTAACACTGGATCAATAAGAGATGATCCTTACTGGACCTCTAGGGAGAACAGTTCGGAACTGATAGAGTTAGCCAGTATAAATAAAGTTAGTTTAGTTTAGGTTTCTTCCTGTAGTAACACTGGATCAATAAGAGATGATCCTTACTGGACCTCTAGGGAGAACAGTTCGGAACTGATAGAGTTAGCCAGTATAAATAAAGTTAGTTTAGTTTAGGTTTCTTCCTGTAGTAACACTGGATCAATAAGAGATGATCCTTACTGGACCTCTAGGGAGAACAGTTCGGAACTGATAGAGTTAGCCAGTATAAATAAAGTTAGTTTAGTTTAGGTTTCTTCCTGTAGTAACACTGGATCAATAAGAGATGATCCTTACTGGACCTCTAGGGAGAACAGTTCGGAACTGATAGAGTTAGCCAGTATAAATAAAGTTAGTTTAGTTTAGGTTTCTTCCTGTAGTAACACTGGATCAATAAGAGATGATCCTTACTGGACCTCTAGGGAGAACAGTTCGGAACTGATAGAGTTAGCCAGTATAAATAAAGTTAGTTTAGTTTAGGTTTCTTCCTGTAGTAACACTGGATCAATAAGAGATGATCCTTACTGGACCTCTAGGGAGAACAGTTCGGAACTGATAGAGTTAGCCAGTATAAATAAAGTTAGTTTAGTTTAGGTTTCTTCCTGTAGTAACACTGGATTGATAAGAGATGATCCTTACTGGACCTCTAGAAAGAAGAGTTTAAAACTGATAGAGCTATCCAGTATAAATAAAGTAGTTTAGTTTAGTTTAGTTATACGAGCTTCTTTAGGACAGTGATAAATACTAATGAAAACTTAAATAAGTCAGTACTAAAACAACCCTGTTATTCCAGCTCCACCAACAGGACCAAGTATTAATATCAGGCCAACAGGACCAAGTATTAATGTCAACAATCTACCAAATGACCCCGACCTCCCTGATGTTCCTACAGGATCCCTACCTGGCGGCTCAAGCACAGTCGGTGGAGCCAGCGGTGGTGACGACCTTGACTTTGATGATCTAAACAGAAGATTTGAGGAACTGAAAAAGAAAAAATGAAAACACTGAAAACATTTAAATAACACGGTTGTCATAATTCACTGAAAAATATACACTATACTGAAAACTGCGTATGGTCAAATGACCAAATGTACATGCGGTGGGAAAAATGAATATGTCATAGATTATTAGAAAACAAACATGGTTTGAAGAATGCCATTAACACTTCAAAGTAATTTCACATTCAATTGACCATAGTTAATAGAAAGATAACGTGACGAACTATGTTATTGTTCTGTTTATGGTCTGCACGCCATGGCTGATTGACATAAGAAACAATATAGAGAAGTATCAAATTTCAACACATCGATTCGTTCATATTGACCAATATCTTAAGTTTGTACTCCTTTTCAAACCCTGCTTGTTTTATTGCCTCTACAATGTACCCTGTAAAAGTAATTATTTGTATAAAATATATTAATTTGTTGTTTAATATGCTGTTTTGCTTTTTCTTGTTTACTGTCTGTAAACATTTTTACGTTTTCGTTCCTACCGAAACTCAGATTTTTTCTTTACTAACGTACATAAGTTCGAGCGGACAGAATGTTATTAAAATAAAAGTTCTGGCCTTAAAGTTGTTATCCTTTATATTTAAATATGTCAATATTTTCTGAATTCATATTTATTCTAATTTAAAATATTTTCTCCGTTTCTCCCAATACCGATTGCACACTGTAGTTGCCCTTTCTGCAATACAATGTTAGTACCATGTCTGGGTATTTCGACTCAAAATTTAAATGACCAGCTTACTATTTGTAGGTAATCCCTGTGGCAAGGAATCTACACGTATAGACAGACAATTCAATAAATCTATATACATCTGTGTCTACTGTACATGTTCAATGGGTTTTTTTCCTCAGACTATTCCTTCACATTTCTTTGAGTTGTTTCATCAGTTCCTCTACAGACATTCCATCATCTTGACAAATCTGTCCTTCGCTGCTTATTTCGAATTCTGAAATCTAAACGAATCACAAAATTAACTTTTTCCTTCCATGTTTCGGGCCCTTCGTCACGTCGGTCACAGGATTTATATCCCGACGAAATTCATGAAGAAAATTGAAAAGAAATGAATGTTTGTAAATCGGATAAAGATTTGTCCTGATTTACATAAACTTCAGCTTAGACAATGTCTCGGCTTAGACAATGTTTATTTTTAAAATTACTTTGCCAATGAACTGATAAAATGGGTCGTTTTTTAACTACGTTATGTATATCAGATAAAGATCGGCTGATCATGTTTTAACTAGTACTTAAAAATTCATTAATAATTCATGAAGGAAAGACAAAGGGCATGACTACAGTGTCAGTAGTTTATATCTGATAAAACAGCATGGTAATTTACATAAATTTTATTGTCTCGACTTCGATAACGTTCATTTTTGTTGTCACCACGTGTTTTATGTTTTCACACCGGCAGGTCACCGCAGAAGAATACTGCTCTGGACGTTTAAGATACATTAAGACATAAAAATAAACTATACCTTTCGTCCAGGTTGTGATGGTTTATTATACAATAATCTCACTCCTTCAGCGAGTTTCATTTCATTCATTTCTTCCTCTTGTTGTGACTCATCAACCAAAACAATTCCTAATATGAATGATTTGCATTTGATGCATTGAGAAATTACAGGAGCTCTAGTAACAACAGTTTAAAGAGATATCCTGGTACTAACCCCATTCGTTGCTTTCATGGACTACCACTTCTTCTTCCTTCTCTTCCGTTATCTCTTCTTTTTTGTTCCGGTTTTCCTCTTCAACTATCTCCTATTAAATATAAGATTACTGTTAGTCAAGCTTGGGTATCCCTGATGGCCTCCATATAAACGTCCCACAACCAAAGTGAAACAAAGTACGAATAGTTTGCCTACCTGATATTCCTTCTGACGTAATACACAATTTTTGTCCTCACATACAGGATTAGGTTTCATTGTCATAGTAGGGAAGAAATCTTGCAATGCATTATAACCCAGGTAATATGTGACTGAACCAAACTTTAATAAATATCTAAAAATAATTATACCAACATATTACAGAACTTAAGGTACATTATGACTACACGTGTGTAAAGTACGACTATACAGTAAGTTTCATATTATTCTGACACTGCAATCGACCAACGAAAAATTCGTTGGCTCGAGCGGGATTGGAACTCGCATCTTCGGGTATCTAGACCGCCGCTCTACCTATTGAGCTATCGAGTCAATTAGAATTGAAACACTGCGCGTCCTCTAAGACAAGCGTTAGTCGTCACGAAAATATTTCGTGAACTTAAATTGGATAAGACTCGCTACCAATCCCTGTTGACTCGATAGCTCAATAGGTAGAGCGGCGGTCTAGATACCCGAAGATGCGAGTTCAAATCCCGCTCGAGCCAACGAATTTTTCGTTGGTCGATTGCAGGTCAGATTAATATGAAACTAGTTTTTCGTATCTCTGAGCAAAATCATGCAAATTTAAGCATGATTGACGGATTTTACGAGTAAAAATAAATCCTAAATCTTGTACTCGACAGTTGTCGCCTGTCTTCACACTAGACTCGATAAATTCTAAACCATACTCAAATTTGCATGATATCTTCTTTTGCGTGAAATCGGGCGACATCGAGCGTCCGTATAGTTGTATAAATGAAACCAGATGAATTTGTCTACAGATTTGTCCTATCTCGTTGTGAACGAAGTTATAAGCTCTCTAGTGTAGTGGAAATCCCTGCTTACTTGAGAACATTCTGTACAAGAAATCCAGCAACAATTCCCATAGTTGTTGGCAATGAAGCAGCACAAACTCCTTCACGTTTTAAAGTCTTCTCATCAATATTCTCTGCTACAACTAACGGAGGTGCACACTTTGGGAAAGAGAAACATGACACAATTTTAACACAAAGCATAAAAAAGGAGAGACCTAAACTAACTTTACTTAATAACTTACAGCAAAACATGCAGTTTCTCCAGGCAGTATGACTTGGATATGACCTGATACAGCATTCTCGCTAACACCAGACTCCATCCAAGGTTGTGAAAGTTCATTACATGCCTAGGAGGATAGAAATGTTAACATTGACAAGTATAATCATCTGGCATTAGACAGAGTAATGAACCCATTAAGCTACAATGCACCCAAATGCACCTGACATAATTTTGCTAAATTAATTACTCTGTCTAATAATTGCAGGAACCACTTCAGGAGCATTTTCATAAAATACACAACAATGGTAACTCCGAATTAAAAGACAACATTTCTTGTTCAACGTTTCGACTTTATTTAGTCATCATGATCAGGAATCCTGATGATGACTAAATAAAGTCTAAATGTTGAATAAAAAATGTTGTCTTTATTCGGGAGTTACCATTGTTGTGTACTCTGTCTAACACCAAACAATCTTACCATTACTTACAGTGTTAACTGCCATACGAGCTTCAAAGTTATCTACACAACTTAAAACAAGATTCACTGACTTTCCATCTTTTCCACCTTTACTACAAAGTAATAGAAAGAACACAAATTAGTAATAGAAAGAACATGAATTAGTAATAGAAAGAACATGAATTGGCAACAGTTTCAGCTTGACATGGGGAAAACATGTGTACATAGTATATACACTCCAGTCTAGAGCTCATTGAAGTTATAAGTGATCTTTTACCACATAGCTTGCTTAAGTTACCTTATTTTGTCCATAAAATGTTGAAAGTTATCCATTAATGTAATATTATAATTATGCGTTTCAAATTCAACATCTGGGTTAATATTCCTACAAAATACAATCACTCAGTCAACTTTGCAACTCATTATTAACAATGCAAAATCAATGACTGCCTACCTTAAGGTTCTCTCAGCTGCTTCAACCTTACTTAGACCAGATTGCTCAGGCCGAAAAAATAATCTGGAATTCAAAGATGGAACATATTGATTTAATACACTGATTACCCTCTGTACTTACATCTGTTGAACTTTTCATTTACTGTATGGCAACAACTGTATCTTAGACTGCCTTACCTGTTCATATTAGCTAGTTCAACTTTATCATAGTCAAACAGAAGAAGCTAAAATAAAAATGTTTTATGAGATTTTTCCTTTATTCTCAGACATCTTGAGAATAAATTTATTATCACAAGCTAGTTTTTGGTTGGATTCTTAACACATCAATGCACAGAATTCTTCTTTGTACAAGTGGGCTCAGCCCACATCTATTCAAGGCTCTCCAAGGCTCTCACTTATGATATCATGTTTTCAGGGTAACAATCAATACAAATATCAACACTCTGGTGGCTAATATATACACTCAAAAAAAATACCTTTCCAATCCCACATCGTGTCAACATCTCCGCCACTACACTTCCCACTCCACCTATTCCAACAATGATTACTGTAAAGTCACGAATTTGCTAAATAAAAGTAAATGAAATTTTGATAAATATATATGACGATAGTGGTGGTGGTGATCAGATGATGATGATTATAATGGTGAAAATGATGAAATGATAATGATGCCAGTGGTACATACTTATTATGATGGTTAGTGTGATGGTAGTTACTATGGTGTCTCTTATGGTAGTATTGATGATCATGGTTATGGTGGTGGTGATAATGATGATGGACATGAAGAAGATGGTGATGGCAATGAGACATTCAAATCACCTCGTAATTGTCCACAATACCCATTCTCTTTAGCGCCATCAAGCGACTAAATGAAATACACATTACAAGTTTTTAGAATTTATCACAGATGCATTGATTTAAAACCAAAATAATATATGTACAATTAGACACTTATACAGAAAAACCTTCAGTCTTCTGATGGGATTTGTAGAAATTTTGTCAGGCTCCATATCATATGCATGTATAAACAAACATAAAAAAATTTGCCACACAAAACTTTCACTATACCACAAGATAACGAATCTAGTTTATGGTTTCCAACGTCGCAGACATTTGATTTTGTATTCAAATAACACCTTTATGTACCAAATTATAACAACACATGGAAATTGCCACATTAAAACCAAATCAAAACAAACTTATTATAATAATTGCCTCAAAAGTAACATTTAACCATCCCAATCCTGACTTTTTAGCTTCCTCCTAATATAAAAATATACATTTAGAAAAGTTTTGCCAAACCTGTACGGATTAGAATCAACCACTTCAGAACTCATTTTGTCAATTTTACTTCGTACGGGTTGAGTGTGATTTTTCAGTGCCAGTAGCTCTTCCAATTCTTTGACTCTCGCCTTTAATGTTTCTAAATCTTGTGCCATAATGCTCGTGCTGTTTATTTGTACAATTTCTGAAATCTTTTCTGATCTTTCATGAAGAGAAAATTTAAATACAAGCAGATGTTCTTCCAAACTTTTGATTATTCAAGATGATTCATCCATGATGAGAGAAACTGCTGACCACGTATGCAGGCTCAGTTTAGCATACTTCAAAATACAGTTGTGTTTCTAGCCAATCAGAGTTCATAAAATTCCGCCAATTGTAAAGGTGATAAACTAGCATTAACCAATGATAGTTTAGCAATCAGCATAACATTGTTGTTCGAATGTTAAAGAGATAGTAAAAACCGAACAAACCATCATAAACCACGGTAATTTATTATACGTTCATATAGTTTGTTGACATTGATGTTCAACACCCCATATGACCCCTGCGCGCGCTTTCCAATTCGCGCGTGATCACAGAGACGACTGGGGACGAGTCAGCCCCTGAAACACGTCTAAGCGTTACCGGTTGATTTGAGAAGTACAGAAATGTTGACGCACGAAATGAAACTTGTCAACAAACACAACACCAAATGAAGTAACATTACTTTCTTAATCTGCGGGTTGTCAACGATCTATTGCACGCTCTTGTAATTAATGAAACCTGTCTATATTTGTATTTTCTCTGCTCGACCCCATGTTTAGGTTTGTCGATCAATTCATTCTGAAGAAACTAAACCGATTTTGTTTTGAAATGCGTGTTCCAGTTGATTGCATTTGAATCGAGCACCTGCCGAGGGCGCAGGGGAAAATGTCTGAAATACTACATGAAAATATAGATTGATAGCACGGGGAAAATGATTTCCTTCCATTTACTGGAGATATAAAAGATTTGAAGAAAACAGAATATAGAAGAAAAGTAAATGAAACATATTTTCAGGTAGTGAGCTAACCATACAATTCCAAACTTTCTATATGCATGTAGTTCAAAAAGTTGACCTTATTTTATCGTATTATATTATATTGACAATTATATTAGTATATTTTAACGGAATTAACAAAACACTTACAAACATTTAAACTTTAGTGAAATATTTATGGTGGGTTATTTTATATCGTTGTTCATTGAAAAACTGATCATGTTTCTGTTGTTTCAATGCAGTATACAGTGATCATAATCGTGTTCATAAGTTATTTTGTCCGATCAAATCTCTACGTTTAGTGAATTGATTGACTGGAAGACACTATGATTCCTGTTTGGTTTGAAACTCATATAATGCTAAATAGTATATTATCTTATTCTCGTCCAAAGGCTCATTTCCACAGAGGGAAATTGAGTTGCGTTGGAGTAAAATACTATTAAAAGTCCGCATCTATCATGTGACATATGTCATTATCAACTTAAATTTTAGATAACAGAAAATAAAAAATGTAGTTAGTATTAAAAGAGTAAAGATTGGAAATGAAGTCATGTTATCTCCTGGTCGTTCTCGCTGTGCTGTGCTATGGTATGTTTTTACTACATTCAAATAAAGGAAAAGCACAAAAATTATATATTTATTTTGCCTTTTGTCTGTTTTCGTTCAAACGCCAGCTAGTTCAGAGTTTTATATAGGAGATTAAATTATAATCAGGCAAGTGCATACTAAAGATCTCTGGGGGTAGAGTTGAACCAACTGTCCCGACATTTTTATAATATATATAGTATGGGCACCATTGTTATAGAAGACATACAAACAACGGCTGAAGTAATTGTAGCTTGTGATTTGTCTTGATGAAAACGTTCATATTTGGTAACAATAATGGAACTTAAAGTTTATGGAAATCAACAGGATTTTGTATCAGATATACAAGCCCTTCACTGTCATGATTTCTTGTCTATTTTTTCATAGCTTTTAATTGAGAATTACATTGTGGATTTGGGGTTTTTTAAGTAGATTTTTTATAACTATTAAATCGGATAGGGTTAACCTCGTAGTTGTTCTGCAAGGATCATGCTTTGATTGATTGAATGGAACAGCCTTTCACTAAGCCAAAGTAAACCTACACAAACTATTTTCTTTGCAAGGTGACGCAAGACCACAACGTGATCTCGTTTCAAACAGCCAACATAAGATAGTTCGAAAGCAACATGTGCCGTTGCACGTGAGGAAACAATACATTGACACATATGGCGGCAATTCAGTCATGAGCGGTAACCCGGTCAATCAAGGGTTTGGCGAAACAGAGTCACCACAAAGTTATATTGAAGACCCAGAGAATGGACAGCAGGCTAATATTGCAAACACACTACAAGGTGCTGGTATATCGTTGAACAGCGGTTTAGCACAAAATGACATGGGTGAAAGTCAAGTGGGGTCCATGAGCAATGATCTTGTGGACTCGACCGAGGGCACAGAGGGTCGACAAATGATTGGAAATGGTAAGCGTATTTTGTGAAATGTTACGCGATTTAAGCTTGTTTTAAAGTCCAAAGGTTTATATATTGACTATTGTGCAACTTATATTACTTCATCTTATTCTATTGGTATTACATGCGTTCTTATAGATGATAGATATATCTGTACACGAAATTTATCAACCTTATATTTTGTCTTTCTTTGTAGGTTTCATGCAAGGAGGTGGTGGTGGACTGGATATCTCGCCTGGCGGTGCAAGTAACCTGGGTGGCAGTCTAGATGGTAGTCTAGGTGGCAGTTTGGGCGCTGGATTGGGGGGAGGTAGCATAGGGGGAGGTGGTCTTGGGGCAGGTTTAGGCGGTGGAACAAGTTTAGGTTTGGGAGGAGGTACTATAGAAATGGGAGGAGGAAGTCAAGGAATGGGGGGAGGCGGTCAAGGAATCGGAGGAGGGGGTCAAGGAATGGAGGCTTTGAATGATGAAGTCGGGACTGGTGGTGATATTGGAAATGGAGCTGGTCTAGGTGGCAGTATTGGGGGTGCAGGTTTGGGAGGAGGTAGTGTTCAAACTATTGGGGCTGGAAGTTTGGGCGATGGTGGTGGGAGTTTGGGCGATGGTGGTGGGAGTTTGGGTGACAGTGGGATAGGTGGAGGTAGTTTTGGTGATGGTGCTAATTTAGGTGGGGGTAACTTAGGTAATGGTGTGATTGAGGGTGGTAGTTTAGGCGGAAACATTGGAGCTACTGGTTTGAATGGTCTTGGTAATCTTGGGGGAGGTTTCGGGGATAATTTTGGTGATGTAGGAGGTTTGAGTGGCGGAGACAATCAGATAAGTGACAGCCTAGCAGGACTAGGCGGGACTAGTGGTGGTAATATTGGAGATGGGGTAGGACTGGAAGCTCTAGGTTCAAGGATAGCGGCTGGCAGTAAGGCACAAAACCTTGGTCCACTTGGAGGTGCACATCATATGCCGGGTTTCGCTGGTGTGGGTGGTAACGAAGGACTTCTCACTGGAATGCAGTCAGACCACCAGGTAAGGATAGCAGTAAACTAAATCTGTTATGAGCTATACGTTTGGATATACTTCTTCCTCTATAGGTAAAGCCAGTTTAAATCTTGTTTATTCTGTAGAAATTTCTTTCATCAAGGTGTTTGAACGACATTTTCCGGTTTTAAAATTGTTTCTTCTCTTTGTAAGACTCCGCTAGACATGCAGTTATCAGGCGCAGCAGATGAAAACCCGTCAATGATTCACACGGGCTTAACATCAATCTTGCCGGGTAAAACAGTCCATGCACACGTTAGCGACAAACCTACAAGCAACAGACCTGCCATCAGTGCTCCTTCTATGAACGCTGCTTTACAAGTACAAGAGCAGGCCAAGAAACAACATCAAAAACGTTTAGGGGCGCTTAAATTGAAATTGAAGAAACTAAGAGGAAGGCTGGAGGCATTACAGAGAGATGGAGATAAACAGGATAAGATAGCAAGCAGTACACAGCAGAATGTAAATAAAGAAGAAATAAATACGTTGAATGAGTTAAGAGTGGCTACACAAGATGCCATTCAGGAGTTACACACAGATTACCCACACGCGAAGAAGAAACAAGAAACGGGTAAGTGAGCGATGTCTACGAACATCCCAACAGTGCGTTACTACAGTAAGAAGGAGGGCTAGTTTAGTTTAAAATTTTCCACTGTTAGAACATTGGACCAACACGGTATTGCTCTTTCTGGGTCTCTTGGGAGAAGAGTTTAGAACTGATCGAGCTATCCAGCTTAGTTTAGTGCAGCTTAGTTTAGTTTTACCATCAGAACTGAACAAGAGAGAAATGAATTTCATTCCATTTGCATACAGCTCAACCTAAACACGAATCACTTGGCAGTAAATTAAAGACTGTCGACTTCACAGCGAAAGAGACAGGAGATACACTGGAAGAACTACTGAAACTATTAGATCCTGAACTGCAGGATAAGAAACGAGGAAAAGTAAACAAAATGAATAATACACGGTTGGATGATGAGGCAGAAAACAAACTTGCTTTATTGACGAAGAAAGCAGAAGACGAAGTGGATGAGTTAGCTTCACAGAATCCAAAACCCAAAACAGGTTGTTGACTTCTTCATTCTCATTTTGTATAGCTTAATTGAGACTGTGAAAATGTTGGGCGGCTTTCCAAAACAATCCTTAAATGATATGAGAAGGATTAGGGAGAGCCATGCTGTTAGGGTTATGGGTTACAGCTCCGGTTAAGATTAGGGTAAGGGACATTGAAGAGGCCTAGCGATATTTTTATATAAGAAGAATTTGCTAACGATGCGCAGGCAAAATTCTTTACTAACAGGCCTGGTTCTTTTCGTTACAGTTCCCCAAGCAAATGCAGCCAGCAGCGAGAACACAGCAAAAGTTGCAAAGCAAACACTTTCCATATCTTGGAAAGGTAATCATTATTATTGAATAGATTATATAAATCTTCTTGAATTTTAGATTTACTTTACTAAAACATTTTTCTAGGTCTTCCAGTCAAAGACTCAAACAAAGACAAACTAAAGAAAGAACTCTCAAAACTGGGTATGTGTTGGTGAAAACACCAGCGCAGTGCAATATTTTCTAGATTCACAAATAATTGTAACGTTTATTTTCACACGCAGGTAAAACAAAGTCGACCACGAAACCCAAGAATCTATTGAGTGAGTCCTCATCAAAAATAATCATTGCAGTTTTAGTTTCAAGCAAAGAACTCAAGTGTTATCTATTGAGCTCATCACATTCTTTTTATCTTTTCTAACCAGAATACAAAAGTCTTGGGTGTTGGCGAGATGACCCAGATAGGGTCGTACCAAGTTTAGAAAACACGTCAACATTACTAAAAGATGGCTACCGTGTTAGAAAAGATTCCGTCAAGAAATGTGCACAAGTGGCAAAGGATCATGGGTTTAAGGGATTCGCGGTGGAGAATGGTGGACAATGTTTTGGTGGACATGATTTATTAGAGAGATATAAGAAATACGGTAGATCACGAGACTGTGCGAATGATGGTAGAGGTGGCGATTATGCATTGAATATATATACATTTCAATAGGGTACTGTAATGAACTTACTCAAATTTATGTGCGGATTTACTCATTTCTTTGTATAAATAAATCTTTGGTCAAAATATACAACATGGTGGTAAAATTTGAAACTTGAGTAAATGTGCTCAACGTATATAAATTTGAGTATAATATTACTCGATATTTTAGCAATGCATTTTACTCAATATTGTGAGCATTATTTTACTGACGTTTTTGTGTCAAAGTGCTCAGGGATGTTTTGCAGTGCAAGCAGTGGCGGAAATTCACTTTTTCCGGTGGGGAGGGGTACAAAGCCTCCTAAATTTCCGACAAAACTTTCAAATTTCAGACATACCCCCCCCCCCCATTTGCACTCGAAAAGACTGTTTTTAGCCCTCTTTTAGGTTAAAATTTCCGAAAATTCGTCAAGTGTTTTTCCTAGCGGTGTAAATAGGACGTACCAAGTGTAAATAGGACGTACTGCCATCTTTATCGCTATATATCAAAACAATGTTAAATAAAGTTTTTTTTAACACGGTGATAAATTGGTATAAATGTTTAATTTGTTTAAATGTTTTAATTTTGTACGTATACTAGATTATAGTAGGTTTAAATATTAAATATTTCACAGTCAAAGTATGGTATTAAGAGCTGTTTTCTTAACATAAAAAACAATCTCATTTCATATGCACTTTCAGAAATGCATGTTATTACTTGCATACGAATAACTTTTAAATTGTATTTGTTATTTTATCATTAAATATGATTATTATAACGTTATATAAGTTATAGAATAATTTTGCTAAGTTATAGAATAATTTTGCTTCAACAAAATTTTTAAATTAATTTTTACAATTTAAATAATTAAACGCCAGCTAAGAGTACATGTTTACATTTGTTTATTTTAATTCATTTATGAAATATATTTATTATATAAACATAAGTGTTATATAGAGTTTTTGGCAACTGAGAAAAATCGTATTTAAACACACGTAAAAAATACGATATTTTTACGTGTGAAAATATCATTTCTTGTAAAACGCATTGCCACGGACGTTTTATTGTTTTTCACTGAATTTTGTTTATATAATAAACAGAAAAATACATGGGTGCTTGGAAATACAAGATTTATTTCTCGTGTTGAACATGATATCTCACTCGTTCGCTGCGCTCACTCGTGAGATATCATGTTCAACACTCGAAATAAATCTGGTATTTCCGCGCACCCATGTATTATTCTCTATTTATTTAGCATTATTCGTCATGATTTAGGTGTCCTGCATGATCACTTCTTAGCTGGCCGTAATATTTTAAAGTAATTTCCACCTTTTATTGCATGCCATTAATTCACGTCGATGTTTCTGTTTAATGTCTGTTAAAGTGGTTTTAGAACTTTCACAGAACTTGCTAACATGCTTGTCCAACGCGCTGGATAGCTCTGCATTGCTTGACATAGGTAACACAGCTGAAACATACACAATTTCATGTTCTATTAAAATGAAGTCTCTAAGGAAGGGGGCTGATGTAAAAAGCCGAATAGCTACTCAGTTTTAGAATTGATGAAATTTTTATTTCTTAGATTTAGTTTGATTGATTTTTTATTTATAGGATTACGGTTTGTTAATTAAGTACTGTTTAATAAATTGGTTAACAATTAACGCGCTAATTAGCCAAGCACATACTTTAATTGTCTTCTATACAGCCTAGTAGGGGACTACGAGTTCTTTTGCTCAGTACCTTGTAATTTATGTGTTGCTAAATCATTAAGATCAAAAATCAAATCTTTGATGAGAGAAGACAGTAGCCCAAAAATGGCGGTTATTGGCCGGCGCGAGAAAGTCTAATTCTGTAGTATGGGAAATGGATCGATTCCTCTCTCTCTCTCTAGATCCAAATGACAGCTTGATTTCTTTTCATGCGAAATATTGCCTCAAATGCCTTACCTGTGCCATTTCTACGACGTTTGCACAAAGTACAATGAGCGAGCAAGCCGAATACGACAGCAACACCCAGAAAGATTGAGGAATACAACAAAGGTTGTTTAATGATTGGAGAATCTGGAGCCAAGACATTGATTTCATCTCCTTCAGAGGCTTCGGAAGTGTCTACCTCTCCCTCTGATTTCTGAAAGTGAAGATAATTGTTCTTGTTATACAGCTAATGCTTCACGTGATTGCCTGATTTGTGGTCATGGGCAACAAATGAAAATTGTTAGTCACTCCGACCGACTACGGACTCAAATGCTCAAAATGAAGTCAAAATTTAAAGTTTTAGAAAGAAAGTTCCAGTTTGCATATATATATATAGTATCTAACAGAGATGAAAAATATTCTGTTACCTTTACAGGAGTCGTGTATTTTTCCAATGCACTCGTTACTAAAGCAGCATTATTATGTAGATAGTGCAGAAATGGCTGCCGTAGTTTCGTAGCATGACCAGCCAACTCAATGCCGTAGGTCGAGGGATTTTGAATGATACTCTTAACTATTAAAGGACTGTCTTTGTTCTGCAATTCAGGACGACTTGCAACGACATACATATCCAGTAATGCACCTTCAACACTGCCAACTTCTACAGCGTGTAGCGCTGTCAATATGTCAGAAAAATCTCGGCCTGATAAAATAAAACAATACATGGTTTACTGATATAAAATAGAATGATATTTCGAATAATTCATATACGCTGTCTAACCTTTGTTGACTACAGCGCCTTTTGATAAACCCAGTTTAAATTCTGAAGAATTGTCTACGGCGGCGATCTAGAAAATGAATGCAGAGTTCTTATAATTATGGATATTTTTAGGTGACGTGTCAGAGCAAGTGCCTATCGCGTGCAGGGTTCAATCGATTTTCGTTATGGACTTATGGCAGTCATGTGAAAATGCTCTATCGAAGTCGTGAATTTCCTCCCTGAGGGAATGTTGACAGGGTTGGGGTTGGGATTAGCCCCTAACTGACCCTACCATGCAATGAGTCAGAAGGTGACTGTTATAGACGCTTTTATAAAACCTTTGACTCGATCAGTTTAAGTAAGGCACTTAATTTCACTTATAGAATACTAACTCACCTCAGCTTTATAAAGATTCACTTCATTTAGTGAAAAGGCAACAGAAGCAGTTAATGACGATGTCAAATTTCCCACGAGTATACCAGTTATGACCAGTCCATAGAGTGTCCACACTATTGAAAATATTCTGCCTTGTACAGTGGTAGGTGCTCGATCACCATACCTATGAGAAGAAGAAGCGACTTACTCACTTTTCTTTTTTATACTGGATAACCCTATCAGTTCCAATCTGTTCAAGTACTCTTCTCACATGTGACTAAGGAAGTGTTCTGTATTAAGGTTTTTGAATTGCTAAAAACTCTTACCCTACAGTGGTCATTGAAACGAATGCCCACCAAAATCCTTCTCTAGCACCATGATTAAATGATCTCGGAAAATCTTTTGAGTTTTTCTCTCTTTCCTGAAAATGAACAAACATGATCAAACTTAAATGATAAGCTTTTTTGATAATTTATTCAACTCAGATGATTGGTCCCTACGTGGTGAAACGACTATAATACGATCCTGATTAATAGACTTACCAGGCACCACATAATTATCCCGGACAACATAGCTGTGATAACAGCAAATCCAAGCAATGGTAATGTACCAATAATTGTACCAAGAAACATATATTCAACTGTCATCGTTAAACTGGGCTTCTTCGTCACAAACACACTCCCTGGACTGTCAATAACTGGCACAAATGTCTTCGAATCTTTACGACCAATTGAAGGAAAATTGATTTGATTTTGGTCAGTAATACTTTGTTTGACTTGGACCAGATCAGGCTTTTCAGCAGAAGCTCCCACAATATCAGCCTCAAAATATATTTTAGGTTGACCAAAAGCAGAACAGTTGCCACAGACACCATAGATGGCGTTGCGAATCAATGGCGGAAATATTCCTGTGTCCGATGTATTCACATACGGCATGTAGCTGCACCAGTTTGTGTAGAAGTCCTCTAGACAATTACACGTTTCTGAAATATAAAAAGTTGTGCATGTGACGTCTGAAGGCAGATTTTCAAATTATCATTATTAGCCATATAACGATTGACAACAACTTCTCTTACCTCCATACATTTTCTCACTATCATCACCATAAAACTTGGTATTAAAAACTCTAACTGTGAAGGAATATTGGCAGTAGTACTCAAGTCCTTCGATGAAAATGTCAGTTTGTTGTGGGTCAAAAATATTTATTTGTTTTTCATCTCCATCGACAAATTCTCCAACTTCTTTTGTTTTTCTGTACGTGACGGTGTAGCCACGACGAATACCAGCCATTTCTATGTCAGGAACAGTGTCCCATTTTAAATGTACTTTGTCAGGCGCAACCTTTGAGATGGCAATAAGATTACTTGGTGATGCCAAAGGTTCTGTTCAATTTAGAAATTAGTATTAGTTCAAGTGTAATTATGATCTCAGTTTGCTAGTTTGCGTCAATCAAAAAAATACCAAACTTCCATGAGTGCTTAACAGTCCCTCAAACATTTTTTACAAATCCTTCAAAACTTACAATTGTCCTGATATGCAAAATTCCTTCTGTGATCACAGACAGTAAAGCAGCCTTTTAGTTAGTAAGTTATTTTTCACAGACTCCAAGAAAAATTGCCGGGAGGTGGTCTGTTCCCTGCCCCAACGGAATTTCGACAGGACAATTAGACAGGGATAACAAAAACGTATTTTCTTACTTCCTTCTTCAGTTCTGCAGACAACTGTAGATGTATTGCTGCGTCCCCATGGATTATAGACGTACATCTCAAATGAGTAATTTGTATATCCTTTCAAGCCTTCTGCAACGTAGTTATATTTGAAATTCTCCAAAGTTACGTTATATACAGTTGCATCAGGACGCCCTATTGCTCTGTATGACATGAAGTATCCAGAGAGAAGACTACCAGTCAGATCAGGTGTAAAACGATACCAGTATAACGATATAGTGTAGGACGAGACACCTGAACATATTATATCCCAAGGCT